ATGTCTCTGCATGTTTAGATCTTCAGGACTCAGAGGCATACCGGCATACATCCCGGCATACCTTTCTGCCTTGATGCATCGACTGAAAAATAAACTCCCCTTCACGTTTGTTGCAGGCGTTTGTTTTTGAGAGAAAGGGTGAGCGCTAGGAGGAGTGGCGGGCAACAGCTCCTTCTTCGAAGCACATTCAACAAGCTAAGTGCAAGGCAATCCCGGAGAAATTCCGCATGGGTGAGACTCAGAAGACAACTAATGCGCCAGTCTCTTAGCGAAGGTGACCTCACGCGACTTCGGGGCTGGCCCACAGGAAAAGGCTAAAGCGGTGGCAGTCCAGCTCGACCCAGGACAAGGACCCTAATCTCCGGAAATCTCCTTTGCACGCGACGGCCTCAATGGCTATCAAAAGACTCTCATTTGAGCAGAGGGCTGTTGCGGTCCAGCTCAAAAACATCATTTCCGTACAGTCATCGATAGGGGTCCGCTCCGTGCAAAAGAGCTAAAATCAGTTGACAAGCAAACCGCATCAATCCTATTCTTCTTTGCTTCCTTCGCGCGGGCCTTCTTTGAAATTTCCTGGGCGAGCTACTGCTACGTTCGGAATGTTACGGTGGAGACCCGAAATGTTCAGAGGTTCTCGCAGTCTTCTTTGTGCAGCCCCTCCCTACGCCAAACAGTAGATAACGACGATGTCCACAAAGATAGTGGACATTTTTGCAGGGGCCAACACAAGGATGAGATTGAGCACTTAACGCCCATAAGTTTAAACCCAAAGCGCCTCCTTTGCTGGTACCAACTTCTCGGTCGCAGGCGAAGAATCTGCAGGCCAGGAAATGCCGGGAGCTTTGAAGCTTTGGAGCTGAGCTCCAGGATTTGGGGCTCAAAATTTATAGCCTTCTGCCTACACGTCTCAGCGTAGCGCTTTGCAGCTTAAGGGGGGATTCGGGCATAGGTCTCACGGCCTGTGATGCGTGTGATTTGTGCTTTAGAATGGGAGCTCGCAAAATAACTGTACAGACAGTTATGTGAATTGAGTGCCCCGAATTGGGGGTGTAGCATGTAGGGCTTGAAGCTTAGGAGTTAGAGGTTGGTCGAGGGTGCCAGGGTTCAGATTCTTGCTTCGGACAGAATGTTTTGGGATGTTTCGTGGTTGAGGTTTTGCCTGTGAAGGTTTTCGCTTGAACTTGCGAGAGGTACTGGGAAGTTGAGCACCGTAGAGAAAGCGAGGAAGCCCTTCATGAGGCCTGTACAAGGACAGTTCAACAACCTTCGCCCACCACACCCAGGCAAAAAAGACACCGTGAGGTTTCAGGAGACTCGCATGCCTCTCACTACTGCATAGCTGTGGAGTTCTCCTGCAAAATAATGTATGGACTGGATGCTGAAGGGCATTGGTCACATTCAGAGGCAGGCTGACATGCCCTCTAAGGTGGCATGTCTGTCGCCGTTTGATGTTCATCGCGTGACTGCTGATGCAGTCAGATCATGCATTGCAGTCGTCATGCTGAATGTCGGTAGACTCTGCAAGACGTGAAAAAGCTCAAGCACCTTCAGCACCAGAGCACACCAAAGACAGGGCCCAAGTTGCATCGCTGCAGACTACTGAGCGGCTACTGAGACAACACCGAAATCCAAACAAAGAGAAGGCTTACTTTTTGACACCCAAGATGGCGCCTCTGACAACACCAACAGCCCGCCTTCGAGGTCCTCATCATCCACTATCACGACTTTGGAATCCTGGTGTTTAAACATGGCCGCATGCAGACTATGCTCATCTTTCCATGAGGGGCTCTGCCTCATGTCCAGCAGGACATTTTTTAACACAAAGCTGAACTTTCATGCAGAAGCCACGCTCATGCAAGGGTGGGGAATCAAAGCAAATCAGAAATTAAAAATCCAAATCGGTGGTAACAAAAGAAGGAAAACAATAACAAAATGAGGGAATGCCAGGGCCCTCTAAGCTCCCTCTGCGCTTGTCAGCCCGAAGTGTGAGAATGCTGTACGCTAGACAACAATCTGTATGTGCGACACGGGGTGAGCGGTTCCAGAATGTGAGAACATGAGATCAAACGTGAGTTCTGCAATATTGGCGATGGATCGGATCTAGATGTATCAAAGAGCCGGGGGGGTGTTGGGAGGTGCAGCACCCCCCATTTGCAAACCATTAATGGGGGTTATTATCATGTTTTGCAAGAGCGGAGGGTTTGGGGGAGCGCAGCCCCCTCGTTCGCAAATCATTGAGGAACGAATCACTATTAGACATGATCCGGATTCAAGATCAAAAAAAGCGAGGGGGTGGGGAAGGGCACAGCCGCTCCCCACCCCTAAGAAGGTGGCAGTTGTTGATGAGGATTCACGGTCAGACATGATACTGTACAGGTTCATGTTAAACATCTTCATGTTTAAGCAGAGCGGGGGGTTGTGGGGGCCCAGCCCTCATTACGTTTTGCAAAGTGAGGAATGGGCAGCCCTACCATTTGCAAACGGCGCAGCGCCCCCAACTGCAAACCATTAGGGAATGTGGCACTTGTTGGTGAGCAGTCACTATTTGACATCATTTTGAGACATGATACAGGTTCATGTTTTGATGGAGATGATGTAAGTAATGAAACATGATGGAGTACAAGGAAGCATGATGAAAGTTGGCTAAAGATAGGATGCAGACTGGATGATACGTGCTGGAAACGCCGAAAAATCATGAGTAGTTATGAAGCATGATGAGGAAAGATGAACGCATCTGAAAAATAGGAAAACAATGAAATGTGATGAATGTGAAATCCGATCAGCCGAGACAAAGGATGATGCTGGAACATGCCAGGACATTGTGAAACATGAGAACCATGAGGGAAGTTATGAAACATGAAATATGGTAAATATGATGAAGCCTGCCAAAACATTAATAATATACAATGAAATATGGCGGACATGATGAACAACTATGGAATATGATGAAAGTGATGAAAACGTTGATGAAACATGATGGAAATGATGAACATGATGAGAACGATGAAGCATGATGCAAAATGATGACGCTTGATGGAATATGATCTGCATGTGTTTTTGTAACACGAAAGGAAGACATGCATAGACATGCGATGCAACGAATTCAGGACAACGATGAGCATGATGAGATAGGATGAATATGATGAGAATGATGAACCTGATAACATGTGATGATAGTGAGATGTGATGAAGACGGAGGAAAACGGCAGAGAATCATAGAAGGTGATGAAATATGATGAAACTGTATGATGAGACAAGATAGAATATGATGACAACTGACAACCTTCCTTCCTTCCCTGCTTCCTTCTTCGCCTGCTTTTTTCCTCCGTCCTTCCTTCCATCCTTTCTGCCTTGAGTTAAATTGTGCTTACTCATCTCATCTTCTGTTGTTCTGGCGAGAGGAGAGGATGTTCTATTCAATCTGTCTCTAGCAGCATATTCTTTTGCAGAACTTACAGTTTGGCATTGCCTCGCTCTTCAGAAAATCCGTCCAGGACCGAACATCCTGTACATCGATTGTTTGTTTGTGGAAAGACATCATGAGGTGGGGGTTGTCGTCGCATGGCTCGGGACTTGAGTGATTTCCATAATCAGCAACGAGAACCTAGAAGAAAAACGCGAAACTACCATTTTCCTTCAGATAGATGAAACTGTCCTCCTCCGGATATTACGTGCTCCTGACTTGTAACAATATTGACTCACAAGAAAACACTATCTCGAAGTGACGGTGCAACCACTCTTGGCTCTGTAGTTAGGCCTACATCTGTACAACGATCTGCTTCAAAATCGGGGGATGACAATTCTGGAACATGCGGATTCCAGACGAAGTTAGAAGAGGGGCACTGTTTGCAAGAACGAGAGAGATGAGAGAGAGGGAGAGAGAGAGAATTGCTTATGAAAGAGTGCATGGCCTCAGTGCTTGAGATTGGAACAGATTTGACACCAAAAGAATCAAACATCCAGAATGGACATACCTTTTGGCAGCGCACCTCGTGAGGGAGGGCCGCCGGTGGCGCCTCTCTCTGACGCTGCTCTTGCGAGGAGCGTCGCAAACTAAATGTCCCATGAGTGATACAGTTTTTTTGGGGCGCATGTAAGGGGCCCCTCATTTGGAAACACCCCTGGGGTATCTCTACAAGACCTTCATCATGGCATTGCTGCGATTGATGTAAATTTCCTCATCAATTCCCTTTTGCCCGTGTCTTCGAGGACTCGTCAATTGGGGAACTGGTATCCTGATCAAATAGCATGCCTGCGAGTGGCCAGGACCCCTTCTACGCCGTCCAAAACATGTGTAGCCTGACTTCCTAGTGCCATTAATAGCGCCTAACTTAGACCACTACAAATTGTCCGTACTAACTACAAACAAGCTCCTATAAGGTTTGCCAGGTCATAGGCCCGTCTCAGTCCCAAGGATTTTGGCTTGTAGCTTCCAATACGTGACAAAATGTGGATTAGCAGAACAAACAGGGGGTGGATAAGTCTGAATGAAGGAGTCTCTGGAACCGCCGGTGGGTGCGGGATAGGGCTTCTTTGGATTTCTACTGCTATATGATGCTATATGCACATGGTTTTGAGGCGCATGCACCTCGTGGAACGTGTGTCAAGTAGGGCTGACAGGCTGTATCTGGACCATGACCCCTCTAAAGAATGAGCCTTCATCCAGGGACCAGGATCGCTTGAGCACGAGACTATAGGAAGAGATGGACTTGTAGAGCAGGAGAACACGTTCTTTTTTCCCGAATGCGTAGCAGA